CCCTTTATTTACCTGAAATGTTAAATTCAGTAATATCTTTATGAACTAGAACTTTCACTGAATGTGATTAATACCCCCGCAAGACTGCTTCGGAAATGAGAAAGTTACTAGTATCAGAATACTTTGTAAAGAGTTTAAATAGAGTTATGGTTGTCGGCCATTAAAGATAGCTGTGGTTCTTGTACGTTGCATTTCCTTTCACTGTGGCTGAACATTGATGAAGTTTTATTGAATTACTCTGTCCAGATAGAGTTACGGTTCTTAAGCATTACACTTCCTTTTATTGCGATTGACTATTGTATGAAGTTGCAGTGAATTCCAAACATTAGTTTTGAAGTAACGTATCAGACAAGGTACAGGAACAAAGAGCAATAACTCTGAAAATAAGTTATGATTATTGTACACTGCACATCCTCTTTCTGTGCTTTAAATTTACCATTGTATGAGGTTGAATTGAATTACAACTACCAATTTTCAAGTCATGCACTGGACAAGAAAAAGTAACAAAGGGCAATATATATGTAATTAGTCCAAATAGAGTTATGGTTCTTGAGCACTGCACTTCATTTAACTGCACTTAACCATTGTATGAAGTTTCATTGAATTCCAACCATAAATTTTCAAGCTATGCACTGGACAATGAAAAGTAACAAGGGGCAATAACTCTAAAATAAGTCAAGAAAGAGTTATGGTTCTGTGTACTGTGCGACCTCTTAATATACTTGACCATTGTACGAACTTGTATTGAATTCCAACCGGTAGATTTCATGTTATACTCTGCGACAAGGAAAAGTAACAAAGGACAATCACTCTTAAATTACTCTGGATAGAGTTATGGTTTTTGTGCACTGCACTTCCTCTCAATGTGCTTGATCCATGTATGATGTTGTATTGAATTCTAACCAGTAGTTTTCAAGTTATGCTCCGGACAAGGAAAATGCAACAGACCGCTTGACCGACCGACCAACCAACCGACCACCGAGTGAATCCTATATCCCCCCTCCCCCAAACTTCGTTTCGGGGGTATAATGATGCTTTTTAAAAGATACGATATTGATAAATTTTAATTTTAGCATCATATTTATTATTTAAAATCATAAAAAATGTGTTACAGGATATCTCATACTGATATTCACAAGTGCTTTCAGGTTCTTGGTCTTTTCAACATGATATTGTTTAGATAGAAAAGAATGTGTTTCTGGTCATGGCGTCATGGAGAAAATAATAAAAATGATATTGTGTCTACGTATTACGAAAAAAAAAGTAAATGGATAGGTTTTATATTAACAATAATTGTGACGTAATTCAATTAGACAGGACTGATATGGGTAATCAGTTATTTATATAGCCTATTGAGATTATAAACTTGAAACTACAATACCACCCTGGATGAACAAGTTTTGTCACGTGACCACAAATGCAAACGCCGATTTAACATTTCAGCAATTACGGACCCGATTTCAGGTAATTATTTGAAGATACCTTTTTTTCTACTGCATCCACAAAATTATGACCTAGACCTTAGGACCCGGTGTTAATTGAGCTTTTATTTTATGTATGTAGTAGTTGCGAGACTTAGGTGTTCTTTTAGAACACTTCGACACAAATCTTCTTTTTGCAAGGCAAACGCCGATAGGTTTTACCTTTTCTATTCTTTTTTGTTCACTGGAAATCCATGTAGAGGGAAAATAATAGTAGATATGTCTTTTTACAAGTCATTTTCGTACCTAACTTATTTATAATTTCAGTAGCAAGGTTATATTCGATATAAACCCATGTTTCCCACTTATTGTCGATTTTGCAAACGTCGTTTGATCATTTAAAATGTGCAAACGTCGGTTGGTCATTTGAAATATATGCAAGCGCCCGTTGATGTCTTTTTGAACGCTGAACTATATTTGTCTCATTTCCAGAGTTCTTCATCATATGAAACAATTTCATTGCAAACTAATTCTAATAACTCCATTCTGGCCACGACGCCCATGGTTTCCAGATTTATTGAATCTGTCGGTAGCTCAACCGTTATGTCTTCTATTGGTTACAAATCTGTTACAACAACCAAAATCTCAGATATGTCATCCAAATCCAGGTGTTCTGAAACTGACTGCATGGTTGCTATCGACAGACAGTTTAGAGAAAAAGTTTTTGTTTTCAAAACTTCTTACAGCCAGCTGGAGAACTGGTACTCAGAAAGATTACTCCAGTAAATTAAGACAATTTATGATATGGTGTCGTCAAAAGAATATTGATTCCTTCTCAGCATCCTTAAATACTTGTGCTGAGTTTTTAGCAGATCTGTATAATAAAGGTTTACAGTAGGTTACCGCTCTATTTTATCTGCAGTTTTACCTCCTGTAGATAACACTCCTATTGGTCAACATCCGTGTGTTATCAGATTATTAAAAGTATTCAATTTAAGAACTCCTCTAACAAAGTTGTTGCCTGAATTGGATTTGCCTAAAGTTCTTAGTGCACTACAAGCATTTCCTTTTGAACCTTTGAGAAAAACATCAATTAAATTTTTAATATATAAAGTTGTTTTTCTTACAGCTATCACGACATTCAGGAGAGCCAGCTACCTTCAAGCGTTAACATTAGAAGGAGCTATTTCTCTGAAGACAGATGGGGAAACTTTTATCAGACAAGGTTTGGCTAAACAGGATAGACCTGGTCATTCATCAGCAAAAATTTTTGTACCAGCTTTTAAGACCATCCAAGAAGAGCACTTGCTATCTATCTTAAAAGAACTGAATCCTTCAGACGTAAAGATGAAACAAGTTTATTTCTGACAATAAATGTACCTCATTCTAAAGCTTCTTCACAAACTTTGGCTTCATAGATTCTTAAAACTATTCAAGAGGCTTATGCAGATAAACATAAAAGTGAAACAGCACATTCTACAAGAGCTTTAGGTCCCAATTCTCATCGCTGCAGATTGGTGAAAAGAAAACACCTTCGTTAAATTTTATTTGAAACAAGTAACTCAAAGTGATCTCACTGTGTAGTTCAACGTCGCTGTATAGTTCAACCTTTTTTTTAAATCAAAGTTACTTCCCGGCGGATTTTGTGTGGAATTGATTTTTGAGAAGATTATACGGTTTTATGTATACATGTATATATGGGATATACAGAAGTTTTATAAAAGTTTGTTATTGAAGAAGAAGAAGTTTTAAAATAAAAAAAGAAGGAGAAAAGAGAGAAGTCTTTTGTTCAGAGAATTGTAATATTTGCAACTTGACTTAAATAACCACCGGTTTATAAGAATCTTACACCGGCTGCCGGTACAGACCGGAATATCTGTCGAGTTTCCGCTAAACAGTTACCCGAGAGCTGGATATTCCCGTCTGTACCAACAGCCGGTGTTTGATTCTTATTCTTGCATATTACATGTCAAATATTTTCGGAAACTGATATATATATTACGCACTTTTTTCTTATAGTAGCGTATGAACATACAACTTCATTCATAAAGGAAAATGACGTCATCCTAAGAACGCGATTCATTCATAAAAGGCGCGCGTCAATGACGTCATTTAAAGCACGCGACTTGTCTTACATTGGGGTGTAAGACAGAGTTTTCCAGCTCCGGTGTAAACGGTAGATAATCCTGTCTGAGATGCAAGAAATATATATATTTTAAAGACGTTTTCGGGAGTTTTCATATAAACATATAGGCAAAATTAAAACTGTTCAATAGAATTTCTTTAAACTTGGCTTGTTGAACAGAAACATTTTAAGCGAAAAAAATTTGGGTCACCGTTCTCATTTTTGAGATATCTGCCCTTGAAATGGACTTTTTTTGTTAAATTCAAGGGCAGATAATTTACAATGAATGGTAACAAAACAATTTTTTCTTCCTATTTTCATGAAGCTTATCTTCGTTTTAGTTGATATGCAAAATTTCAAGAACAAACTTAGAGTGGGTAGTTTTTATAATTATAAACTTCTTCTTTTAACCTGTGCATTTTTTTTTCTAAAAAAATTGACTATTTTTTAAGAATTTAAAGTACCTTTATTTTCATTGAAAAAAATTAACAGAAAGGATGTAAGGAATTGCATGTTATTATGTATTGTACTCAATAATAAAAAGAAAAGCATAATCCAGAAGTAAAAACAAGAATTCATTTAAGTATGTATAAGTTATCTGCCCTGGAAATGACCTCAAATAAGTAGAAAAGTCTGATTCAGGGGCAGATAACTCAACAACGAGAACGGTGACCCCAATTTTATTTTCGCTTAAAATGTTTCTGTTATCATATTCTAACAACATGCCAAGTTTAAAGAAATTATATTGAACAGTTTTAGTTTTGCCTATATGTCCATATGAAAACGACTTTTGCAAATTAGACAATTCGGGGAATAACATGGGATTATGTCAAATATAACTTTTCTAATGGAATTATAAATGAGATAGGGACGGGAATGGCATTTTAAAAGACATATCCTCTATTATTTTACCTCAACATGTATTTCCAGTGAAAAAAATGATTGGAAAAAGTAAAACCTATCGGCGTTTGCTTTGCGAAAAGAACATTTGTGTCGAAGTGTTCTAAAAAACTACTAAAGTCTAGTAATGACTACTCACATAAAATAAAAGCTTAATTTATGCCGGGTCCTACGGTCTATGTCTTATTTTTGTGCTCGCAGTGGAAAAAAAGATATCTGCAAATAATTACCTGAAATTGGGTCCGGCGTTTGCATTTGTGGTCACGTGACAAAACCTGTTCATCCAGGGTGAATACACTGATGCCCAGAGACAAGGTAAACATCCATTTCGTGGTTAATAGATAGTGACTTCATATCATAATACCATTGTTTTTACGGATAATGTAGTAGTTATTTTTATTTTTTTTTTATTAAACAGAAAAGTTTTATATTTAGAGATTCTAAAATAGTTGGTTTTTCCCAATTTATATTTAGCATTTGAATTTTGATTCTATTTTTTTACGCAGAATGTTTATTTACCGTTTATTTTTTTAAACGTTAATAGCAGTTTTTGCCAATTAAACAATTTATTATTGAGCAGTTAATTGACAAGTTTGCACGTGTCATGCTATGAAAAATTAGCTACTTTCTTGTTATATTTTATATTGTGGATATTTAATAAGTAAGTGAAATATTTGTAATGAAGTTTATTTTAAATTTTGATATTTGAAAATAAGGCATAAATTTATAAATGATAATACTAGATTATTCCTGTTTTTCTTTGTTAAATCTCAAGTTCATTTATGGTTAGAATGTCTCAAACAAGTGACATGTTGTTAGAGAGCTAGTAGCCAAGGTGCTAAAAAACCTTTACACTAGACAAAGAAATGTAAAATATTGGTTATATTAACATCTGTAATAAACTTAATTCTTTAAAATCATAGGCAATGAAATTTATTGATAGTGATTAGAAAATATGTAAGCTAATTTCACAAGTATTTTCAAACTTAAGCCAAAACTTTCAGTTCCGCCTCTCCAGAAATAATGTTTAATTATTGGTCAACTGAGTTTAACCAAAGGACAGTGAGAGGACCATTTAAAAGATTCCTTTTGCAGCTAACAGAATCATTCTGCCTGATACTATAATATATATGTGTTAACAAATAAAAAAAAAGCTGGAAAAGTGAATTAACTTTTCTTATATTTTTATATCTAGATATTCCCCATTGTGAAAGATTCTGCACCGATAATCAAAAGGAGAACACAAACATAAGCAGTTAGTTACTAGTAAGATTGGGGAACAAGTCATCGATGAATAAGTGTCAAAGAAATAAAATAACAGCTTTCTCAGCTTTACCGTGTTATTGAAAAAAAACTAAATTATCAACTTCGGAAAATATGCGATTTCATTAGGAAAATTAATATGACCAGACACCTGCTCATTTCTCCCATCATGACCCTTTGTACCGGCGTAAGTAGTATTCAACAAACAAAGGTGAAATAATAAACTTTTCGTGTCATTTACCATATATATAAGTTCCAATACAGGCTTCTTGCTAGGATTTGAACCTAGAATTCTCACATCAGTAAGCGTGTTATTCTTAACACTACAAGAAGTACTATGGTAAATGGAGTCGTTTTAAAGATAATGCAAAGAGCGATTTTGTCAGTTGTTTTGAGTGAGCCTTTCATTTTAACAAAACGGAATTATTTCAACCTCTACATTTGTTACACAAAGCTTGAAACAGGTATTTTATAATCTTTAAATGACACTTATCTATTTCAGACAGTACTGATGGCTAAGTGTGTTTGTTTGTTTGTTTTTGCTTTTTTTTGTCAAAGAATATTTAAAAATACCTTTATAGATTACAAACGATTCATAAGGTGCTTCTTAAAAAAGATACTTTGGAAGAAGGTAACCTGTTAGTGCTAGATAATTCAGCTGGCAAACTATTCCACAACAAAAAAACCACAAAAAATTAAAAACATTAATCTACACGTTTTTGACTTGTAAGCACTTGAATGAGTGACAGTATTGTAGACCAATCGATATTAAGGACAAACATAATCAGATTATATCAGATTATTCTGAGTTACTTGAAGTTTATTTTAAAGGAACTGGGACAGACCAAGATACCACATTGGACAGCAATAATCAAAGTTACATTAGTATGTTGATATTACCAAGAACTCATTAATAAATTAAATGTAAATATTTGGCTTTTCAAGTTGACATTTTGTATGAATTTCAAAAATACTTTTGAACAGGTCGAAAAGAAATTAAAACATTTTGACAGACTTGTTGTTAGACGATGTGCAAAGCACAGTTTTGGGCTTCTGAAAATAAATTTACTCCGCCCTGGGGACTACTATATTTACATAAACTAATATAGAGCGCATTTTGTGAAAATACAAAGGCTACGGCTGAGATATTTAGCATATAGCATTGACCTTTACAACACTGATATTATTCATGACCCTTGGTTTAATATTGGCACCACCCCATGGGCCACTTGATTGATGTAGGAAAAACACATATAAGATTTATTGAGTGAAACAAAACTTTACAAATATTTGGTGTGTAACATAACTTTGTGGATCAAAAAAATAATTGCTATTAATGATGCCTCTTGGCATGGCCCCGGGGGTCACTTAGTTTACGTAGTTTTGTATAGGAAAACTCAGTAATGTCTTACTGTGTGGAACTGCAATGCTTAGAGCGTAGATATTGACATGTATCATTGCCTTGTTGGCCTTTACAAAACTGGTATTAATAATGTCCCTGGGACTATTATTGGTCCCGTCCCGAGGGTCATCATGTTAATATGGCCTTGTATGAGAATACACATTACAGTCTTACATTGTGACACTATGCCTAGCATTTGGCTGGTATAATTTCCAAATAGATATTATTTTTATTGCCTGGTAATACCCAAAACATTGTTAAAATATTAATGGTACAGTATGGGTTATCTTAAATTAAATATTTCGGAGAAAAGCTAAAAGTAGTTTATTATTCGGATTCCACAAAATTTAATCAAAAGTTTATTAAATTTTCTTTCAATTTTATGCTCAATCATATACGAAGAATCCCGAATAATGTCCCGAATAATGTAAAAGTCAATAATTCAAAATAATCTATTTTGTGCAGTTAAGTAAAGCGCTTTACAGATTGATTCCAAATTTTTGAACGGAAAAATGTATCCGTAAACGATGACGTTGCATGGGCAAAAATATTTCGTTTGGACAGTTTGACTTTAAACGCTTGCATTCAATTAGCTGATCAGATTTCGTGCACTGTTTGACGGCAATTTGTTTATCGGCTGTAAAAGGAATTTAATTAAATAAAACGATTTAAACATGAATTTTAGGATGTGACGTTTAATTATTTTGTTAAAAGGTATTTTCATTTTTTTTTCATGAACTGTTCAAAATTAAAGGAACTCAACTTAGGTCCAAAAGTCTAAAAAGAATGCTCTATTATAACTGGCTGGGGCACATAAACAGGAGTTATGCAAAAGATAAAAAAGAAATAGATTCAGAAATAAATAGAAAATTGAAATGTGTGCTGTTCTTAGTCCGTTTTGGGCTGTACAATATTCAATTTTGAGTCATATTTCACAATTGAGATACTTATTATAGATAAACGTAGATATCGAATGATCAGGCAAGATAGTGATGTAGATCTACATCAAATTGAACCCTTTTCTCGAAAAATAATTTCCAGACCCTCCATGTTAGGAAACCTCAGTGGGGTCCCTTTAATATACTTATACGCTGACTTACGTATTTTATCGTTCAACAAGATTTTCTTGTGGTACGTGTATTCGATATGACGTTGCTTTGCCCAAAAGTAAAAGGTCTTAAAACAACGTCATGTACAGGACTAAAGTTACATGTTGTTCGAAATTAATACTTTACCTCGTAGTACCAATGTTCGCTTTATTTTGTACGATGTTCCGTTAGGGCCTGCGAGTTTTCAGAACGACATGCATGAAATACGGCAGTACCATGATGACAGTGGGACAGTACGATTGTGACAGTATGATGACGAAGCACGACAACACGATGGTAGCTCCGTCGTATTGTCACCATCGTTCTGTCGTGTAGGCACGATGGTACTATCGTACTGTCACCATCGGACTGTCATGTTCATTTTCCTTTTTTCAGAGAAAACGCGCTGGCCCTAATGGAACACCGTATAAATTTTGAGATTAAAGAGTTAATGGTTATTTTGATACCATAAATTTGATACTTACGTCTTCGCCTCTTATAAATATAAATTAAGTATAAGTTTAGAATCTTGTATCTTGTACGCTATTGCATAATAATAAACTTTACCATTAAACACTGTTGAAATATAAATATATGGCTTTTATTTAAATCATATGTTTCTAAATGCGGAAAAAGCTAAAAATAGTTTATTATTGGGATTCCACATTAATACATATCTAAGCTAAAAATAGTTTATTATTGGGATTCCACATTAATACATATCTATATGTATTAATGTGGAATCCCAATAATAAACTATTTTTAGCTTTTTTCCGCATTTAGAAACATATGATTATAGTTGGGATTTCACAAAATATATGTCGGTGAAAACATGTGTATCTGAAATATATATTTCTTGTGATTTTGCAATTATATAAACCATTGCTTAAAAAAGATCTAAAAAAATGAAAACTAAAAAAGTACAAAAAATTTGATACCTAAAAAACACTAAACAGTCTTCCATTGTGAAAAGAGAAATAGTCCAATCTTTTGTTTTTTTAATTCACTTGAACAGTAAATTATTAATCCAACTGTTTTAATAATACAAATAGAATTAATAATCCGTTAGCTAATTATTTGTATTCAAATGTTTATCATAAATAAAATACATCTCCGTAGTCAAATAACTAGGTTTAAAACAGAATAACACGTTTGGTGCGTAGTATTTATATTACTAGTATGTCCCATAACATCTATTTATAGCAGCCATATTTTCATTGGCTCTCATAACTTTAACATTTGGACAACCAATCAAAACTCCAATGATTAATGATATTATCATCAGATAATTGAAAGTATGTAGCTATTTTATAATTAAAACTCAAAATATCTACGTATCAGACTAAAATTCAAAACAGCAAATACAGTTGTGATTTAAATATAAAAAAATGTCACCAAAAGAATATTAAAGGCTCACTTTGCCCCGGAAGCGCTTAAATCTATTTCTCAAAGGCTTGTTTTTTTTGGTTTCCAGAAAATCACTTGATATGCAACCTGAAGCATTTCTGCTGTTGTTTAAAGATTACAGTCATAGTGATTAAGGATTTTGCATGAAAGTCATAATATTACTTTGTTAAATTTTTGACATATCATGACACATAATTTTGTACTTTGCGCTTTTTTATATATGTAATAAGGTAACAAGATGTCTTACTTGCTTTTCTATGATGTATACTTTAAGAAATACAGTTCTGGAACCTGAACTGATTCGCCTTTGCAACCAGTATACAGCAATACATGTTGAGCAGTTGTATAGTCTGACCAGTCTGAATACTGTTAGGTAGCTTATATTTTATTCAAAATAGCGCAACCAATTACATAAATGCAGCGGATTTATAGTTGATTTGAATAGCACTCTGATTAAATTTGAAATATAATAATTGGAATAATAAAACAAAGTTTGTATAACCATTATATGCATATATCTTACGTACAGTAATTTAATTTGTTTTAGATGCAGCTGTAAACAAAGTTGTTGTGCACAATACTCGCAAAACTTCGTATAATCGTTCAGAGGAAGCAATTTAACATCATTTGAAACATTTAACTTCGACAGGATTTGTTTTACTTCGGTGTCCCTGACCGAATTATTTGTTTCCATTGTAGCGCTTGTAAGTATATTATTTTGTTGTGTGATTTTCATTTATTTAACCAATAGTCGTGATCTAGTTGAGTAAAGCATAGGCATAAGCCGGTATAATATTAGAGCCTCTCTTTATGTTTTTCTTATTTTGTTGGCGTCAAACAGATTATTTTTTTCAATTATTTGCCTTTTTGATTTTCAACAGTGAACACCTTTATAGCTGGTATAAAGCATCGTCGGATACCCACGATTGATAAACATGTCACATAACATGAATGATAATGGTTCGGCCGTGGGTATCCGACGATGGTATAAAGATGCATAGCAGATAACCAAAGAATGAACAAGTACATGTAAAAAGTGTTAAGAATATATTTATAATTGAAGATTTATTTTATTAGGATATAACGTACCTGATCATGTGAAGAAGCATTCATTTATAATTTTCGGTTTAATTTAATCTAATCAGGAATAGCGTAATAAGAAACACAATGATGTAACATCCTATATATGCCCAACATCAACGTTACAATAAGAAGCCTGGAACCCCGTTGTATCGATCTACTTATTTTCATCAAATATAAATAACATTAAAAAAACAAACTTACCATGGTATTCTTTTATTTTTACATCCAATTATATTACTATTTTCTTTTTTATCTAGCCAATTTCTATTGGTTATCACTATTAAACACTTTCAAAGTCAAAAATATTCAGCCATGTTGAAATTTGTGTATTCTGACGTCACTCCATTATATCGATGCATTATGGGAAATTACTGTTTTGAAGCCAGAGCTGTATAAATATTGTCAAAACATAGAATTAAAGTCATCTCTCTTTTTAGATGTTTTAAACAAAACAAGTTTGCAAAATTGTTCATCAAAGACAGTTTTAACTAAGAACTGTAACAAATAACTCTTTACAAGTCATATTTTGGCTACTGCTGATCTGTTTTAATTGGGAACACAGTGAGGACAAATGAACTCACTGTCACGGCGTACAACACGAACTTTGGAACAGAACCTTAGATGTGTCCAGTGTGAGCACTTGTCACATTTTCCCCAGGAAACGATAGAAATAAATGGATACTTGTCCAAATCAGCTGGCTCCCATCTGTTACACACACAGCATTTATCGTCATTAGCAACAAATTCAGATTCAGTGTCCTCTGAAGATTTAATGGACCTCCAACTCTTCCTAGGCCAGATGCTCCAGGCCTTGGTTCAGCTGTGCTTTGTTTCTCTTCTAACTTTTTTGTTTTAGGGCTGATCTGCTTAGAAGTTTTGTTTTTTCCATACTGGTAAGTATTTCATTAGTTTTTTGCAGCATCAAATAACCTGATATTTTAAAAGGTGGCACAAATTTTCTTTTTTGAGGTTTTACTGCCTTTGTAATTGTTCTTTTAGAGAAAAAGTTAACAGCAGGAGTCAACACTTGAGATTCTTGAGTCTCAATCTGAGTAGATGTTTCATCATCAGAGTTGCAAAAGATGGTAGAAGGGGCTACTTGAAGGTCACTTATGACTGTGCTGCAGAATTGATAGATGCCTGTCTTTTTAAATGCGGATATGAGATTTTCAGGTGATACTGCTTTCAGATAAGGTTTGGATGTGAGTTCAGCTATATCATATTTTGTAATGTTAATTCAAGGACTAGACTTCATATATTTCTGACACTCCTGAGAGTACATTTTCTTGAAAGAACCAAATATGTCAACATCTAATGGCTGAGTCAAGTGACTGGAATGCGGAGGTAATACGAACAGGATAAGTGTGTGCTGCTTCGCCCATTCTGTCAGTGTAAGGGAAATGTGAGACCTGTGGCCATCATACAGCAGAAGAGTTGGCTGTTCAGCATCATTTGGAGCATACTTAAGAAAGTGCTGAGTAAGATAGTTCAAGAATACCATGGAATTAGACCAACCTGTCTTGGACATCTCTCCAGCTGAACCTGGGCTAGCACCCTTCAAGAACTCATCATTCCATCCAGCTATTACTGTTACTGTTGATGATCTGGCTGATGTTTTGTTCTGTGGAGTGGTGTCTTTTCTACACACAATCTTGGGTGGTGAATGTTCACTGTTTACACCAGTCTCATCAATGTTGTATTTTGTGAGGTTTGTCCTTGATGTTGTTTGATGTTAATACAGAGTCCAGTTCATTAAAATAGGATTCAAGTGTCTCCCTAGAAGCTGACTTGGCCCTTGCAATACTTAATTTTTGTGGCTTGACTGTTTTAAGTTCTGGCCATCGTTTAGTAAAACCAGTTATCACTTAATGCCTTTTCAGCCTTGACTTTCTTGCCAAGAATATCAGCAAAGTCCGAAGCCATATACTGGACTGATGTTTTGCTGTAGCCAAACCCAATATTGGCCATGTATTTTATATGGTCATACAGCTTTTGCTCCTCTTCATGGGTAAGTATTGTTTCATGCCCCACTTTAGCATCAGTATCAACACGCCCACTAATTCTGTCTCGAAGAGTTGTTGGAGGTACATTATAGAGTTTTGATGCTCTGTAGGCCGACATCCCACTTCTTGTTGGGATCCCATCTGTTACACACACAGCATTTATCGTCATTAGCAACAAATTCAGATTCAGTGTCTTCTGAAGATTTAATGGACCTCCAACTCTTCCTAGGCAAGATATTCCAGGCTTTGGTTTAGCTGTGCTTTGTTTCTCTTCTAACGTTTTAGTTTCAGGGCTGATCTTCTTAGAAGTTTTGGATTTTTGCCATACTGGTAAGTATTTCATTATATTTTTGCAGCATCAAATTACCTGATATTTTAAAGGTGGCACAAAGTTTCTTTTTTGAGGTTTTACTGCCTTTGTAATTGTTCTTTTACAGAAAAAGTTAACAGCAGGAGTCAACACTTGAGGTTCCTGAGTCTCAACCTGAGTAGATGTTTCATCATCAGAGTTGCTAAAGATGGTAGAAGGGGCTACTTGAAAGTCACTTATGACTGTGCTGCAGAATGGATAGATGCCTGTCCTTTTAAATGCGGATATGAGATTTTCAGGTGATACTGCTTTCAGATAAAGTTTTTTTGTAATGTTAATTCCAGGACTATACTTCATATATATCTGACACTCCTGAGAGTACATTTTCTTGAAAGAACCAAATATGTCAACATCTAATGGCTGAGTCAAGTGACTGGAATGCGGAGGTAATACGAACAGGATAAGTGTGTGCTGCTTCGCCCATTCTGTCAGTGTAAGGGAAATGTGAGACCTGTGGCCATCATACAGCAGAAGAGTTGGCTGTTCAGCATCAGTTGGAGCATACTTAAGAAAGTGCTGAGTAAGATAGTTCAAGAATACCATGGAATTATACCAACCTATCTTGGACATCTCTCCAGCTGAACCTGGGCAAGCACCCTTCGAGAATTCATCATTCCATCTTTGCCCAGGAAAAACATAATAAGGAGGAATACTCTGGCCAGCTGCATTACCAGATGCTATTACTGTCACTGTTGATGATCTGGCTGATTTTATGTTCTGTGGAGTGGTGTCTTTTCTACACACAATCTTGGGTGGTGAATGTTCACTGTTTACACCAGTCTCATCAATGTTGTAAATTTTGTGAGGTTTGTCTTTGATGTTGTTTGATGTTAATACAGAGTCAAGTTCATTAAAATAGGATTCAAGTGTCTCCCTAGAAGCTGACTTGGCCCTTGCAATACTTAAGTTTTGAGGCTTGACTGTTTTAAGTTCTGGCCATCGTTTAGTAAAACCATAAAACCAGTTATCACTTAATGCCTTTACAGCCTTGACTTTCTTGCCAAGAATATCAGCAAAGTCCGAAGCCATATACTGGACTGATGTTTTGCTGTAGCCAAACCCAATATTGGCCATGTATTTTATATGGTCATACAGCTTTTGCTCCTCTTCATGGGTAAGTATGGTTTCATGCCCCACTTTAGCATCAGTATCAACACGCCCACTAATTCTGTCTCGAAGAGTTGTTGGAGGTACATTATAGAGTTTTGATGCTCTGTAGGCCGACATCCCACTTCTTGTTGCCTCTAATGCTCTCTGAAGATTGGCACGGTCATACTGTAACCACCTCTTCTTAGCGTCTGGCTCCTGAAAAAGACAAATGACATTTTAAAGTTAAGAAAAATATGTTTTTGACTTCAATATTAAATACAAAATACTCATAAATTGCATATGGCATTTAGTTAAAATTTTGACAGAAACGCCGTTCCATAGTTCAAAAAATTGTGACAGCAGGGTCACGTGACCTGTCAAAATTTTCCAGTTAGCAGACGAAGATGTGTAGGATGTGTTATTTGGAATGTAAATTACAAAAGCATGCAGAAAAACGATGAGAAATGGAGAAATTATGTTATAAAAGGTACTTACTGCTATTCTAAACATGGTCTTGTGAAAAGTTTGCTCAAATACTGAAGCGAAAGTACAGCAGTGCACTGATGCGTGTGTAAACAATCGGCAGGTGGCGCTAGATGAAAATTCTCGCGAGATTTATAAATAGATCGATACAATGAGTAGATCGATACAATGGGGTTCGAGTATAGATCAAGCCAATACATAATACTGGAAAAATATAAATATAATTACAATGTAAAAAAGTGCCGTGATATATAAAGAATTCGAATTTTTGCATTCTCATCAAAGTCATAGTTTACATTTTATATATAAGTTCAAAGAAATGAGCGTCATCAAGAATGATACTCAAAAACAACATAGAATTAGTTATAAAGTGAGCAAAATATAAATAATACGTTTTCCAAAAGTAAGAAAGAAATACATTACTGTCTAACTTGTGTTTGACGGTGAATCAGTCAAGTGACTCGCACACCGCTACTCATGCCATTGCGAACAATTACATTTGCATGACAAATAGTAATCATCTGTTGATAAGTTTTTACACAATAAAGATGTATAGCCGCATTACCATAATAATTATGCAGATCTGCTGATAATGTGTACTGTTCATTCCTTTTTACCTTTTATGTTGTTTCTTTTTTAAACCGACACACTATATTGAACTCTTTTACTGGGAAAATGACATGCCATGTTTGAGAAACTGAAAGTTGTTTTACACTTGTATACAGATTACAATTTTGTTTTCATTATAACGTATCAGTTATGCCATTAATTTTCAACATATGAAAGGAATCATGATATAGTTCCGATAACTATTAGAAATATTACCATATGAATCATGCTAAGCAAACATTTTATCTGTTGAAACATATCTTGTTATGTTTTTAAGTCTCGTCGATGACCAGTTGTCATGTCAGATATATACCAAGAAAACCAGAGACGAAGAGAGCAACTCTATTGTCGTGATTGTAAAGTCAGACTTCGAGAGGTTGTTTTTATAAGCTGTCCGTTTCCGCATCTCTTGTTCTGCAAGAACTGCTTTTTAAATCATGACATTTGTCCAGTGTGTAATACTCCAGTAAAAGCTCTTATCAACGTGATCATCAAAAACATTGACAATCATTAACATAGTCGTTAGGGAAGTTAATGTAGGTTATCTGTACACGTCTGTGCTGCATGTCTAATTCAAAATGTTATCTTTGTTCTGTACACTTACCATAGATACAAAAAGTAAATAGTACAATACATTTATTTTTCAAATATTAGAAAATTTCACCATCCTATGTTTTTATAATCAATTCTTTTAGTGCCACACTCCATCTTTGATTTTTGCCCAAATTTAGATCACCCAGTTATATTTAGAGTAATTATTTCTGCAAATGCAAAATTATTTTTTATAAAAAATAATTAGACGGCGCATACACGCGCCGTCTAGTAGATATGCATTTGTCCGTATAGCAATGGGGAAAATATTAGACTTGAGTTTGTGCATTTTTTTGTTTGAACAAAATCAAATTGTTTTCAAATTTCCTAATAAAAAAGCTTTTCTGATGTACAACATGTCACAGAGCTTTAAAGGATTAAAATAAACGTTTAACTGAAGTGATAGTATCATATTTGAATATCATATTCTTTTTATAATAAAATGATTTATCTACATAATAAATAACGTGCCAATGAGCCAGTCTATAGTGAAACCCGTTGAGACCCGCCTTTAATCTAATGACGGGCAGGGAACATGAGGTATCACTAAATATGCAACGGAGATTATTTTGGCGCTACGGACACAGCGGAAATATTTTTTGCAAAACAGGTAAAGCGTGTGCGGCATGTTATTCATTTAAATAATTAACATTTAAGTTACAAAACAGATTAACTGAGTGAAAAAAGTACGCTTATCTAAAACGTATCACAAAATATTTGCAATAGGTTATTTTGTGACCGACAATAGTGTTCTCTTTTGCCTAGACTTTTTATAACAGTTTGTTGTCCAATATCTAGATTCTAAGCGAATATGCAATCTTTTATTTATTCAAGTAGTTTAATCGTTTAAAAATAAGTAAACAATACGTAACAAACAATTGATTATATATAACAATTTATTCATAACTATTATTTGATCTTACAGAAATATTTTCGCTATTTGTAAAATAACAGACAGTTCGTCCTCAAAATCATCGAACATTATGCAAATCGCACCAATATTTAAATGGACATATTCTCGGCACATATTGTCTTGAATTTATTTTAAGTTTACCAATAATTTCAATTTCACGTGTTATCCAATTTATTTTGCTTCGACCAGACGTTTCAATCTTTGTCGCAACAGACACACATTTCAGAATTTCAGACACATACCAAGAACATGGAGAAAAAATTAATAAGTGCTTCGGATATTCAACTATTATTAGTTACTATTTCTATCATAATTTATTGTATATTTGGATAGAATCATTGTTTGTTACTATTTTATTCATATACTGTATGTATATGTTAGTGTTCATCCGTGCTGTTCTACAGAAATTAGGAACTTCGACGGTCGCTATCGCTCCCGTCGAAGTTTCTAATTTCTGTAGAACAGCACGGATGAATACTAACATATTTAGTGTCAAACTTTATTTGGCCTCATTATCATTCACTTTATTACGTCACTATGCGGTTTTATGAAGTACTATGAAAAATAGAAGTCGACTATGTACGAAATTCGATATAGTATCGACTTTTGTACTTCTATGAAAATTAACGCACAGAATTTTTAAGAAATACAGCGTTTTCATTGGATGACAAATAAAGTTGGACACTAAGCGGTTTTTCGGATCGATGTTTAAATTAAAGGCAAGAATGTAATCGTATTAATAGGCCTACATTCTGTTGTATCTTTTATCCGAGTCGAAAGAAAAAATGGCCGCCAATTACAAATTCTAATTTTCAGGGGCGGAGGAATTTTGTTTTCAAGAATTATTTCTTTGAACAAATATCCCCCTTTTTAACGAAATTCGCTATTTAAAAGTATATCATTTTGTTATTTTGACAGTTATTATGTGTTACATGATAATAGAAAAACATGCTACTGTCTATTGATATCAATTTTATCAGGCTCGGCTGATATGGACAGAAAGGGCTCGGCAAGCCTCGCCCTTTCTAGCCCATACCAGCCTCGCCTGATAAAATTGATATCAAAAGACAGTAGCATGTTATTCTCTATATATTGTTTACTTGGATAGAATCATTGTTTTGTTACCATTTCTATCATTTATTGTATATTTGGACATAATAATTATTGTGTTACTATTTCTATCATTTACTGTATATTTTGATAGAATCATTATTGTATTACTATGAAATTGTCTATTATAAATAAGTTTTGAAATCATCAATAGAATCATTTAAAGTTATAATGTGCATAACTACTGTTTAGACTAACGTTCATGAAATCTATGTCACCTGAAGAAGATCAAAATTTGCTACAATAGAGGTGTAAATAAAATTATGTCACTTGTGATGTGGAAAATTAATGAGAGGACAGTTACTTTTACTTTTTTCAGACTCAAAATAACACAAAACTTTTTTTTCTACCATTGTAATTGGCTCTTCTGATTGTTTTTATCCATTGATTCAGTCTTGCGAATTTTCCAAATGGTGGTCAAGTTGTCTTCTTTTTTTATTTTAAAATCATGTGATTTTAATCTCCTACTTTTCCATGTTGTTTGTAATAATTGTTTTTGCTTGTTACATTTTTTTTTTGTTTTTGTTTTGTTTTATGTTTGTTGTTTTGTGTTTTTTGTTGTTGTTAGATTATATTGTTCGTTTTTGTTTTTCTCAATGTCTTTCTGTCCCATTTTGTCACCCTATTTTCAGTTATTTTTTCTAATAGAGATACCTTCCAAAACTGGGCTAGATGTGTGGTTTTTTTCCCATAAATAAAAAGTACAACTTGCTATATGCATCGTTAATTACGCCAATGCGTTGGCACTCTATATTGGTAACAATGAAGCTACACAAACGGTAAAAGTAGCAATTTTGCCCGAGTTTCCGGATAATATATTCTAAATATTATGAAAGCTTGGGTGCTTTTTTATACTGACAATCGATCACTTCTGAGAAATGTTCGTTTAATCCGTCCATCTCTTTTAAGATATTAAATCCCTTCCAGCATTGCTTTTCGCTATGCCTTGTTTGTTTCCCTAAAATTCATTTTAAAAAAAGATATTGTACACTTTTGAGACAAAGTAACAGTTTTCTGTATTTAATAAATTTATAGATTTTGATATAGTGTGTTTCTGTTTTTATACAATCCAGGCTTTTATTAATCCAAATATATAAATAAATTATACTTCATATCACTACAATGAACAAAGATATTTTTGATCTTGTATTTCGAGTCTGTATGTTTTCGGCAAGATGGAGTTTTGATATAAAAACAATAAATTTTAAACTATCCGATAATATTGTAGAACATTAGAATCAGTAATTCAAATTGAAACAGGTTTAATAATTCTGTAAAAAAGTACAATAGAAAATGTATTTCTAGTTGAGGTCTCTTTGTTAACATTTCGTTTCGAACAAGAATTGGGTCTCACATATAGAAACGGAATTTAATTCTTTCTTACTATATATTTCAATATTTTGGATCGAATATTTACCAATTAATAATCAAAGAAAAGACCTGATAATTATTATATTGTACTCCACAAAATAAATTACAACAGTTCTGACAAATTCTTTACGTGTTATACAGAGCTGACATTGTGAACAATTTCTATCCTTTATTACAATCAATCAATAATTATTTTTGTGTCTGTTATTATAGCTTACATATTTTTCTATTTACCTTAAATCAGATAAGCTTTTTAGAAAATTGATTTTAAATGGCGTTTTTTTGTAAATTATTTTTCTTTAAAGTTTACAGTTATATATTTTACTACATGTTATATTTTTGTCAGCTGTTTTAAATGTTTTGTTAATTTTTGTAGTTTATATGTTTTATATTGTTCAGCCTTTTATGTACATTTAAGGAAAAAAGTAATTTTGTATCTACGTTTTTAT